AGACAATATTTCCGAGATAGGCCTACATGCATCTGCAGTTGTAATGTAAGTAAAATTGCAAGCCTTCCCCGCATTCATAATGGACATGGTTTATACCCCCCCCCCCCCCACACACACACAAACACATAGTAAATCAAATTAATTATTTGTCCACATTTTTATTACCATGGCAGATAGAAATTTTCCTTTTTTTTTTTTTTTTTACAATGAACTTAAATTAACAGTCTTTTAACTTTTTTGTTACTGCATATTTTAAGACCTTAGAAGAGCAAAATGCTTTAAATGATAATATAAACGAAAGGTTCAGTAGATAAATACAGAGTTTTCCAGTAAAAATAGTCCTAATGCCTATAAGTTTTCAGTAAAAAAAAAATACCTAAATACCCCTTTGTTGTGAAATATCAGAGATGTCTCTAACGCTTACCGCATGAGAGACAGGGAGACAAAACATAGTGTTATGCCTTCAGGTTCCTCCTTGTAGAAAAGAAAGAAAAATCATGCAAGGTTTACAGATGACAATTTAGGTCAGTGAAGACTATAATTCGACCAAAGAGGCTTACACGCGCAAACAGACATGTACTTATGCTGTGTTTAAAACAAAATCAATTAATTTGTTTTAAATGGAAATTGAGACAATAAGTTTCTGCAGCTTGATCCAAAATATAAATATATTCTTGAAAATACTGAAAAAAAAATGTTCTTGAGTACTAGTCCATAATTTCTTAATTTTAACAACGTAAATCTTGTAGAGACCACATATTGTCGCCATACAATCCATGTAACTGATCCACGTTTTGTAGTTATGCAAAAAACATATTCTTCAATCATTATTGCAATTTTCTGAAGAAAAAAAACTACTAAAATACATTGAATATATGTATTTTTGAAAATTTCAAAATATCGAATCTTAGAAAATGTGTACGATAACATCAGAAAATGGTCTAATCTAAATCATAAATGTCAGGCTTTTTGAAGTATGTAAATGTATTTTTTGGCTGCTGCTGATAACTTGTGCATCATAAACTGGCACTCATACAAAAGTTACATTCATGATTTTAGAAACACAAAAATCTTTAAAAATGAATCCCCAAATTGCCTTGAATTTAGGTAAATACAACATTCAGCCGCTAGTATATAGATATAGGATTTTTTTTTTTTTTGGGGGGGGGGGGGGCAATTCTCTTAATCGTGTAAATGAAATGTGTATCATACCATACTAATACCATTCCATATCTCACTACAGGTTTATATTTACGGGTACATGTTTACCATATATATAGTGATTTATATTTAGCAAAGGGCATTTCCAATTGCATGTGTATTTCAAAAGGATTGATTTTTCGTTCGTATTTATTTTCAAATATTTTCTTAAGAAAATATGAAAGTTTTTCAAAACTTTAAATACTAAGGATACAATGATGAACATCCAGAGGATCTGTTGTTTGATCTTTGTACATGTCATACTACAGACTGTCAAGCTGTCGGTAAGTATCAACAGGATTAAATATTTATTAAACATTACAGAAGATGCTCAAGATTTCTTTTTTTCTATTCCTTTGGTTTATAACTTCACCAAAGTTAGTTATAAGTTCTATCATATCGGATATTTGAAAAAAAAAATTCCATGGTAAAGTGAAATCATTTATTCATAACTCATACGTTAACAGACATAATATATTAAGCTTCTTGTATTGCATGTACAGTGTACATGTAATAAACTTTTCTTATTTCAGAATTTTGAACTTTATTGAGATTAACCATGGCATTACTTTGAAATTTTTAAAAAGGAAAAGATACTTTTATCATTGCTATGAGTTCATATTAGGAAGTGTAATAACGTTATCATGATCAATGTTAATCATGTAATGTTTGATCAGACAAAAAATAAAAACCCATCAGAATATGTCTTTTTAAATGTCACTTCGATTCTACACACTTATATGAAGATGTCCTTTCTTTCTGATACTATCTTTTTTACCGGGAGCATTACAATCGTTTTGAAGATAAATACTATAACGTGCTAAGGTAGTTCAAGGCTTGATCTATCTCAGACAGTAATGTACGTAATAAAATGATTCTATATCTAGACGAGGGTATTTCCGAGTATTGTCCTATACATTCAACTACATGATATCTCTGTTTACTTTGAATACCGTTTAATCGCACAGGTTGAAAATTGGATAATAGATATGCAAAACTTTCGGTAGATGTAATAATTTATTGATTTTTTTTCTTATTATATAGATGTGTACTAGGTAGATCAGACATTTCATTCATTGGTCATTACTGCTCCTGAATCTTTATTCAAAATTACATATCAGTAAATACGAGTATGTAGAAAAGTAAACATTTTACTTAATATCATACATCATTTATAAAACTATATATTTCAATAGATGTTTATATTTTTAGGTCACCTGAGTCACTCAGGTGACCTATTGCTATCCGTTTTTGTCCGTCGGCGTGCGTCGTGCGTCGTGCGATGTGCGTTAACATTTGAACATTTTTAGCTTCATCTCTGAAACCGCTCAACCAATTTACTCCTTCTTTACTCCTGGACATCAAGCAGTCAAACTGTTGGCATGATTGTAATAAGCATTGAGCCCTCTACCAAAATTGTGAAATTCATGGCCCCAGGGGCAGGGGTTCTGGTGCTAGGGCGGGGCTATATAGATCATATAGTGAAAGTGCATTATTTCTTTGAAAATCTTCTTCTCTGCTCCTGGGTATTAAATAGACTAACTAAGTATATAGTTATGATGAGTAAGAGTGCCTCTTCCAAAATTGTGAAATTCATGGCCCCAGGGTCAGGGGATCTGGTGTTAGGGCGGGGCTCTATTGATTATATAGTGAAAATGCATTAATTCTTTGAAAATCTTCTTCTCTGCTCCTGGGTATTACATACAGTAACTAAGTACATAGTTAGGATGAGCAAGAGTGCCTCTTCCAAAATTGTGAATTCCATGGCCCATGGAGCAGGGGTTTTGATGTTAGGGCGGGGCTCTATTGATTATATAGTGAAAAAGCATTAATTCATTGAAAATCTTCTTCTCTGCTTTGGGTATTAAATAAAGTAACTAAGTACATAGTTAGGATGAGCAAGAGTGCCTCTTCCAAAATTGTGAATTTCATGGCCCCTGGATCAGGGGTTTTGATGTTAGGGCGGGGCTCTATTGATTATATAGTAAAATGCATCAATTCTTTGAAAATCTTCTTCTCTACTCCTGGGTATTATTGAAACAAATCAAATACATAGTTATGATAAGCAAGGATGCCTCTTCCAAAATTATGAAATTCGTGGCCCCTGGATCAGGGGTTTTGATGTTAGGGCGGGGCTCTATTGATTATAAAGTGAAAATGTTTTAATTCTTTAAAAATCTTTTTCTGTGCACCTGGGTATTATTTAAACAAACTAAGTACATTGTTATGATAAGCAAGGATGCCTCTTCCAAAATTGTGAAATTCATGGCCCCGGGGACAGGAGTTCTGGTGCTAGGGCGGGGCTATATAGATCCTATAAAGAAGGTGAATTATTTCTTTGAAAATCTTCTTCTCTGCCCCTGGGTAATGTTTTAACAAACTAAGTACATTGTTATGATATGCAAGGATGCCTCTTCCAAAATTTTGAATTTTATGACCCAAGGTTTAAGGGTTCTGGTTAAAGGGGGGGGGGGCTTCTATTGATTATAAAGTGAAAAAGCAAAATTTCTTTGAAAATATTCCTTTCTGCTTCTGGTTAAAAAAGCAAAGAATCTAAGTGTTTAGTTATGATGAGCAAGAGTGCTTCTTCCAGAGTAGTGAATTTCATGACCCCTGGGTCAGATGTGCTGGTGTGGGGGTGGGGCTCTTGATAATGTAGTGAAAATGCATTAATTCTATTAAATAATCTAAATAATCCTATTTGCTCCTTAGTGTTAAGCAGATAAACAAATTGATTAGTTATGATGAGCAAACTTATGGTCCCAGGGTCAGAAGCTTTGGTGTTTCGGGGGGGGGGGGGGGGGGGCTCTATTGATAATATATAGTGAATCTGTAGTAAAAATGCATTATTTCTTTAAAAATCTTCTCCGCACCTGGGCATATATGAGGCAAACAGAGTAAAAAATTTTTATAAGGAAGGGAATTTTTACCAGATTTTTGAACATCTGGACCATTTGGTCAAGTGTTCTGGTCCTGGCCAGGGCTCTATTAGTTTGTATTCTACTGAGAGGAGTTATTCCCCTTTGCCATTTACTTTTGATAATTTATCACTGTAAATAATGTACTTGAAAGGTAAATAGAATAAGAGAATTATGCAAGAACTTTTATTGTATAATACAAAAAGTACTTTCATAGTTTTAATGATCAGATAGACTTGTAAGTAGTAGATAAATAAAAATGAGACAAAAATAACTTGTCTTATTAAATGTTCATCAAAGACCAAGAGAGGCCAATGTAAGAGATTTCAACAAGGGATTAAAATAGTAGAGAAGCATTGATAATTTGTTAATATACTGGATGGTGAGTGATAAATGGGGGACAGATTAGAACGTAATTTATGAACTGTTTATGAATATTAAGACCAATTATTTTGTTGATCATGATAACCCTATTTTTCTTGCTTTTGGGCAACAAAGCTTCACCTTTCAGTTCATTTTATACTCTGTGCATCCCTTAAATTGTTGTATCTTACTCAGGTGACCGTTAAGGCCCTTGGGCCTCTAGTTTGTATTTTTTATTCAAATGTAATTAAAAAAAATAAACGTTATCTTAAATGGCTTATCTAATGTTAAGATTATGTTTATACTTCAATAGAAATAACTGCAATACTATTGAACTTTGTAAATATTCTTTACAGGAATTAAAGTACAATCTTCTAAGAGAATTATACATATTTACTATTATAACACCTATAGCTTAGTGCATTTCTTCAATTTTGAATATTTTTTTGAAAATTAATAGATCAAAGTAAAATAGATAAAACAAGTTACATATTTGTATAATTTTTGACTATGCCACAATTGTCCCGCTTCGAAATTGACAGTTTCTTACACCAATGTCCAAGCACATATGAGAAGTGGATGGATGCAGCCAGACGAAAAAATTGTTCAAGCACACCTCAGAACTGCACTAGTCCGGAGAATTTCAAATACCAATGTGTAGCGAATGCCTACCTGAACGAAACCATTGAAGTGTGTGCTCCCGGATTATTTCTTTTAGGTATATTCTATACATGGAAAGAAGCGTTCTTTCCTTGAATGATTTTGGATTTCGATTTTTTTAAACATAATTTCGTAAACACTTTCTTTTCGTATATAAAAACATAACAGTTTTTTGCAGGATTTTGTCCGGAATATAATTTCCGAGGCGAACGAATACAAGATAACTATAATGCTGATTGTAAACATTATGCAGAACCTTGCCCAAACAGATACGAGTCTTGGAAGTCCTACAAATGTAAGCTCTGTATACATGTATCCAATGACAAACATTATAATGTCTGAGAACTAATCAATAACTAAAAATTCATTTCTGCAAACAATACTTATAATTTTTTTTTTATTTGCAATACTTGCATTGCTTTCTAAATAAATTATATTCTTCTTTTCATTTCAGTTCCAGGATGAATTACTCTGAGGAACTCAGTACACAAAAGTGAATCTTTATTATCAAACAAAACTTTAATTTTTAAAACAGCGAGGAAAAAAATAAGCAGGCGTAAACTGTAAGTGTTGTTGATGAAACTATAAGTTTCGAATTTTATTTGCATCTATCATTTATAACACCTATATATTTTATGTTATATATATATTATATTGTATTATATTATATCATATTATGTTCATACATATATAATTTCCAGAAGTGACGACAGCTCTATGGTCTTGATTTTATGCCTGAGTACTAGTATTCCATTCATCGTATTCATATCAGCTTTCATATTCATTTTTATCTATAGAAGAAAGCGAAGAATAACAGGTATACTGAGTAGTTTATTTCACCTTGGCTTTTATGATTTTTATATATATTTAACAGAAAACTTGGTGATTTAATTAAAATCATTATTTTACAGAGAAATATTGCCACTAAATCAGACCGAATGTCAAAAAAGTGATTCTTAAAGATGTTTTGAAAGAGTAATTATTTTCATCTAATCCATCGTGATTATTAAAAAATACGAATGCATTCGGAGGACACTCAATTTCATAACTGACACAAAATCTGTCATTTAATTTGGAATTTATTAAAAGTTAACATTTCCACGATTTGATAGGATGTCTTTAATTGAAATTTCACTGATATTTAACACATTTCAATTAGATTTACTTACTTTTGTAAATCTTTAACTTTTTCCATATCGATTGAAATAATTTGCTATTTAGTATTGTCTTGTAAAAATAAAAGCTCGATTTGTAAAAATAACAATATACTTCTTACTACACTTTGTTTTTCCGTCTTTGACTATAGTTGAAATGGTACTATTATACTCTTGATTAAAATTAAAGTTGTTTTCTAATGAAAGTATTTATTTATTTGTCACTTTTATTCAAGCTTTCGCAAATATAAATACATGTATTAATTGATCTATAGCATCGATCATACTTCCTTATATTAAAAACAGAAGATTAATCAACTTCTCGATTCGACAACTGTGAAGTGACTTTTCATGTTAACCGTATCTTAATGTTATATCCTGATTAAAAATATATCCTTTTTAATAAAGCTGATCAATCTTCTGGGCAGGAAATACTTGCTCTACACAGAGAATTTTCCCCCAGTTTAGATTCATCCCTCTAATCGTAAGTGGGCGATTTAAAAAAAAAATGGGCGAAGTCAAAAATTAAAAAAAAATAGCAACACAAAAGATTTAAAAAAAAACAAATAACAAATTAAAGAAAAAAAAAAGACAGTAACAACCTTATTTCTAACAATCAATTGTGTTTGGGAGAATTTAAAACGGGATAAAGTCGGTTACAAGTGTGTAGTGGACAGTCGTTTTTGTTTATGTCATCCACAAGGCTCTCTGTAGAACCCGAAGAAGGCACCAGTGTATTATAATGTACAGTTTCTCCAAGAACAGAATTTTTCTTTGTTTGAATTATTTTAATAGTCTCTTCAGAAACTGTAAAAAAAAAGAACAAAATAAAGCATGTATGTTTTTATGTTAATTTTGAACATAAATGCCTAAAAAGGAGGATATGCATGTCTGAGTAGATGAAAATGGTTGCATGCTGATGTGATAATTAAAGTTGACAAAGGATAGGATTTTAGAAATTGTTTTTTTACTCTTTGTTTATTTTTATATCAGACAAATCTTTTGTACAAAGCTTGATTACACATTTCATGACATTTCAATTATTCTGCAAGAATACTGATGCAAAAAGTTCACGCATTACAAATGTTATCTATTTTATATAAATGTTCATGTTTTTTTTATAATTAAGCTTAAGATTGTATATGACTGATTGATTACGATTTAATATTACAGTTGTCATTTTAGCTTACCGGGAATTGTTTTTTAAAAGAATTTTATCGATCGTTAAGCACAGTTAGTGGACTAACTTTGTCGATGCAGTGTACTTAACTTTGAGTGGAAAACACCCAATTGAAACATCACATAGCTCTGAAGGACAATTACACAGTTTTTGACAGTGTCGTCCATAACTTGGAAACAAACACGTGGTAGAGCAGTTGATTCCAAAATATCCTGGTGTGCATTATGTTGATTCATAATATAATTATACATGAACATGCATATAATGCACTAAACGAATAGCATTTAAATAAATAAATTGAGCAATTGTGGTTAAGTTGCAACTTTATCGAAACTTAACTATAAATAAAAAAATTAAAATTGTGGGACTTTATCAAATCTGTTTTTTCCTTTTTCTGTAAAAATAAAACAGCATAGAAATAAACATTGAGAAAGTTATCAATGCAAGAATGACCTACATACTGTTGGATGACATGGTCCCATGTAAAGCCAGCACAGCGACTTACTCCATCTTTCCTTTGTGAAGGTATACAGAAAAAGGCTTTTGAAAGACAGTAGGGACAAAATTCTGCAAGGTGCAGCGATGAGGTTGTTCGATATGTACATGATGTATTTTGATATAAGTAGGATTCTTTTAGTATTTATTTATAACAAGAAGGCCATGAAGTTTTTTTTTCACCAGTTAGTATTTGTTTACTTTTTCCCGAAAGTTTACGAGTCTGAGCATTCTAATTTTATAAAGAGAAATTATGTTCCGGTATATTTTGTACTATGCATGCAGCTACGTGTGTAGATGATATTTTCCACAAATTGATGTACATACAAATTGTACTTATAGAATTTCACGCTGAAGAACCGAATACTGATCGACAGTTATTTATAAAAGTCACCGAGTTATAACAAACTTGGATTGTTTTACTTGCACCGTCTCTGAATTTTATTTTGCATTTCTTGTGTTCTTCATATACATGTAAGTGTTAGCCACCTACCCTTCACACTTTCCATTAATTTTCCTGAAGTAAGCTAGGATACCCACGACACATAACACATTCATTTTGTAAATCATTATTGCTTGTATATATAGATGTGTAGATTTAAGATCATTCCAAACATATAACCTCACTAGCACCATCTTCGCTAGCCAAGGGTTTCCATTTCGGATCGGAAACCCTTGGCTAGCGAAGATGCCCTAGTACAGATTTTGGCATTTCCTGGAAAAACGTATACGCACATGATTGCCTTTCCGGTTTTGATTTTTAGGCTAGATTAATAAATTGACTTACTATTTTGTTCGTACATATAATATATATAGGCGGTTCTTTTAATTAAAAAAAATCATGTACTGTCAAAAGGCCAGAGATACTCAAGCTGTAGTAGGTAAATTGACTATTAGAAAATGGCATAAAACTAATTGTACAATTTTTATGCTTTAACATCTCTAATAAAGTAGAGAGAGAGAGAGAGAGCGAGAGAGAGGGGGGGGGGTGGAGCACGTATAAATATAAAGCAAGTTTAAAAACAACTCTTCGACTATTTAATAAACATGTAACTGCCCTCAGTGATTTTTGTTTGTTTATTGAATTACGTCCCTCTCGAGAATTGTTCACTCATATGGAGACGCCACCACTTGCCCGTGTAGAGCTGCACATTTTTTACCTATACTCAGCACGAAGGGCCATTGAGCAGTGAGGGATCTTTTTCGTGCCAGCACCTACAGTATTAACCGGACCCATCCTGACGCAAAGCAGTCTCAGAGCAGTCCCGGGGACTGCTTTGTGGGACTGCTATGACAAGTTTGTTTGTTTTTTGTTTGTCTGGTTTTTTTTTTTTAAATAGTGCTAATGGAAACTTTGAGTGCATATGTAATTTGACAGCATTAATTTATCAAATAGGCCTAGATAATTTTTTTTTCAAAAACCTGTATTGAAGTTTAATTTAAGGGATAGAAATCATCCTCTGGCTTCCCTTTTTAACCACTTTTATTTTCTTAAAATTAATTCTAGACTACAATTGTGTAAATTTAAAGCCCCTAGAAGACATTTAGTAGTTACATGTATAACTATCTCTATTTATTTAATTTTTGTAAGAAATTAATACTTGTTTTTTTAAATTTGTTTTTTTCTTAACCACCTCTCTGCAGAAAGTAAACAAAACAACAACAGGGAGCTGCAAATTCAGAATACACAAGGGGCGGAGCTATCATGTCACTCAGAACCTTTTTCATGCATGAGTGAACTAAGCAGTCCCAGAAAGCAGTCCCATGGACTGCTGGGACTGCTGGGTCTGCTTTCTAGAGCAGTCCCACAGCAGTCCCAGAGCAGTCCCATAGCGGTCCCAGAGCAGTCCTACAGCTGTCCCAGAGCAGTTCTACAGCGGTCCCAAAGCAGTCCCGGGGGACTGCTTTCTGGGACTGCTTTGGTGTCAGGTTGGGCCTGGTTGATACTGTACTGCGTCATGGGACCTCGATTTATACGGTCTCATCCGAAGGACCGGTCTCCACGTCCCACAGTGGGATTCGAACCCGCGACGTAAGGATCAACTCCTTACTCCGCGACTCTAGAGCGAACGCTCTAGCCACTGCGCCACGCGGGTGAATGCCCTAGGTGAAGAATGAAATTCACTTTTATTCGGATACCCACTTTAACCCCAACCCGGGGTTGAACCCTCGACTTACGGAATCTGTCTCGGCCATCTAAGCAAATCAAAAAACTTGCTTTTGATGCCTTGGGTCGGAAGTAGGTATTACACAAAGCTAATAAAAGGTATGAAAATGTCTTCTTATAACGTCCTAAGAAATTATAAATTGTATGTTCTCTACTTCTTCTTCTTCTGATTTCTTATTATCTTATTATATTAGATTTAATTTGATTTTATTTATTTATTTATTTATTTATTTTTTTCTGATTTATTTATTGGCTTGCTTGCTTTTGATTTTCATCTTCAGGTACTCTGTTTTAAAGCGTATACATCTAATTTTTTTTAATCTTTCTTTTTGTACTGAATGTTTGATTTTTTGAAATTTTATTTAAAAAAAGAAGAAACTTTAATGAAAGATAGTAAACAATATGGTATTATGTCTCTGCTTTAATCCTTTGGCACTAAAAGAGAAAAAATAAAAATAATAAAAAAAAACACGAAACGCCTTTTTTCTTTTTCTCATTTTTTTAAACAGTTATTTAGAGATTTTTGGCAGAGTAAAAGGATTTGATCTTTGCTTTATAATGCATATACACATAAAATTCTTACAAATTGAAAATTGATTTCTAATTGTTTAACACTGAGGAATTACAAAGACACAGGGTTTTATTTATTGTCCAAAGCTTCTTATTTGAGTGGTTTAATGCATAAATGTATGAGAGATGCAATAAATCAAAATGACCATACATTTTGAAAACAATTTTATGTAACAAACAAGATGTGTTTGTGAAACACTGATGCCCCCGTAAAGCAGCTTAAGGCGAAGGTTAAAGTTTCTCAA